TTTCTCACAAAATGGACGGATATGTCCCGGTGAGAAACAGTAATGACAAATGTATCCCCTTATTCTGGATTCTGGAGTGGTGACTGTGGAATTTCTGCATTCTTTTCCATTTGAACCCTTCTCTTTTACAAAGACAATTTTCTTCTTCTTTACTGGCTTGTGCTTCTTCACTTGGTTTTTGAACCCTAGACCTTCATTTTTGTTGTACTTCTCCAGTGACACAATCTCTTTGAGTTTAGTTGTGCCGGTATTCATCATCTTGATTGCTAGAGTTGCTTCCTTGAGTTCATCTTTCACCTTTGCCAGTTCAAGATCCTTCTTGGTGATACCAACCTCCAAATGAGTGATTGTTTCTTTAAGGGAAGAATTTTCCTTGTTGGCTGCATCTAGAGCACGAGTCTTCTTCTCCAAGTCGCTGAACAATTTCTTGTACATTTCTTCCTCATCTCCTACTGCTTCTGTACTGTATTATGCAGCATTCAAAGAAATAAAGTTCAAACATGTATAATGACTATTATCTAACTCAGAAATTTCAGTTACTGAAAGTGTTTCAGAAAGTGTTGCAGCATCTAGTGAAACTACTTGTGATTCTGATTCAGAAGAATTTTCAGTGATATATCTGACAGAAAGAGCCTGTTTAGTGGGTTGTTGCTCATCTGTCTGTTCAGGTTGCTCTTCCTCCTCATCACTGACAGCATATATCAGACTCATTCCTCTTATTCTCAAGGTATTTGCACATTCATTAGCATAATGTCCAAATCCTGAACAGGCCCTGCATTTAATATGATCCAAGTTAGGTGGTTCAGAATTTGAACGAATAAATGGAGAATTTTTTAAAGTGTTTTGAGAAGATGTTTGAGGAAATGTTCTCTATGGAATAGATCTGTTCCGGGGCTGAGTTTGTTGATTTTGTGGAGAGCCATCTGGAAATAACTGTCTGGGCTTGATTCCACTTAGTCTGTATGCCCTATTGAATTTCTGAATCTGAAATGCCACATTGTTGAGACATTCCTCTGCATCATCATCATAGTCCGGAGCAGCATCTTCCTTATCTAATTCTGCCTGGAGTGCATTTGAGATAGCCTTACCTTTCTCCTTTCTTTGATCTTCAAAGTTCATCTCTCTAGACTTTAGGCTACCAATTAAGTCGTCCAGCCGTAGAGATGATGTGCCTTTGGCCTCCTCAATAGCAGTAACCGTCATGCTGAATCTTTCTGGAAGAGTTCTCAATACCTTATTCACCAGTATGTCGTTGCTCAAAGGACCACCTAAGGATTGAAATTCATTAGCTAAATCGATCAATTTCTCATTGTATTGAGAAATTGTTTCGGTTTCTTCCATCCTTAGTCTCTCAAATTTGGAAGAGAGTAATCTGAGCTTAGTTCTCCTGACACTGTCTGATCCTTCACAATGTAGCTGAAGAACCTCCCATGCATCCTTTGTAGAAGTGCACACTGAAATCAATTTAAACATTGTTAAATCTACTGAATTGAAGATTGCATTTAACGCCTTTGAGTTTTGATTGGCATTTGATAGATCATCTGCTGTCCACCGTAATTCTGGTGTTGGAAATACATCCCCATCCGCATCTGTGATAGTTGGTGGCTTCCATCCAGTGAGAATAGATCTCCAGGCTCTCTCATCAATGGCTTTGATGTACACCCTCATCTTGACTTTCCAGTAGGTGTAGTTTGTGCCATCAAGTACAAGAGGTCGCATAGAAGCAGTCATCTGAGTATCCATCACGAATTCGTTTCTGTAAAAGAGATAGGAACAAACACTTAGTATACGTCAAGTGTTGGCTCTTGATGCCAATTGAAAGAATTTATGGTCCCGAATTCGTTTAATACAGAGGTGTTATCTTAAGTGTTGTGACACTTGAACAAACATGCAGCGGAAATATAAAAATAATACTCAGATATAAAAATGTTCACAAGTAAAAACTTGTGAACTTGCCCTTTACAGGACAGAAAAAATATATTAAAAACAGTATTCCAAGAATACAAACAGAAGATGTACGAAAACTTCTTCCTTATGAATGAATCATTCTCATGATCATTCTTACATTCAAATCTAGAAACAAAAAGAGAAATATTAAAAATTCTAGATTTTAAAGAATGTACTCGTGAAGAGTACGTAGAGAACTTATGAATGAATCACTATCTTGATCATTTTTACAACCAAGTCTAGAAACATATATACTAAACAATCTAGACTACAAAGAATGTACTCATGAGGAGTACGTAAAGATTGTACTCATGAAGAGTACAAACAACCAATTCTAAAACCACACTAAAACACTCATGTATTCTTTTCAGCTCTCGGTTTTTATTTCGTAGAATCGATCACTTTCTTGAGTCTTGAAGTCGGTATTTATAGACATTCCAAGCTTCCACTCCTCAGCCCATGATCTGCAAGAAAACCAACTACAAGAGCACTCAAGAACATGGGTTAGTGGGTTAGTTTAGTAGTTAAAATAATATCCACAATTTAACCCACTAAGCACTACTTAGCCCACTAAGCACTATACTTAACCCACTAAGCACTACTTATTCCATAACTAAAATTTAGTTAGAAAATAAGAAAGTTAAAAAAAATGTGGAAATAATCCACGTGTTTCATTTTTCATTTTTCCTTTTTTGATATATAATTTTAAATTTCATTCATTTATTTATGTATTACAAAAACTAATAAAAAAGTTAAGGTAATTATAATAATTTTTTTTTCAAAAAAATCATTTTTTTTAATTTTGAGTTTTTTTGTTAAGAATAAATACAAAATTTCGAAATTAACTACAACTTCGTTTTATTTTTAATTTTTTTAGGTTTTTATTTTATTATAATTTTTCTGTTTTTTCTTGTTTTTTTTTCTTTTCAGAATCAACTACAAAATTACTGAAAATTACTAATTACACCCCTAAAATCCCAAATGCTCCACCTAGATCAGATTGGAGGCCCGGTGGTGATGCGATTGATATCACTATACCTTGTGAATCGGAGAAAGATGTCGATGCCGCTGTTCTACCGACATTTTTCGCTTGCCAACAAAATTAGCATGCTCTGAAATCCCACAAGATTTGTCGGTGTTGAATCTAAATTGAAACGGGGGAGTGCTGGTGATGCACTGATTGATTAATGGCAACAACAGGGCCGGCAGTGGCTGAGGTAGAAAACAACGAGACGATGGTGACTGAGCTAGAGAGGTAAAAGACTAACAATTTTTAAACTCTGGCGGAAGAAACTGAAAAGACGACTGGTGGAACAAAGATGAAGAGAGGGAAGAAAAATAGGATTTCACATAATTATAAATCATAAAAATATATGATATGTGAGGACAAATTAGATATATTAAGAGGGTGTTTGGCTAAGCTTATTTTAAACAGCTGATAAGCTCTTACATCTGATAAGATGTTTTTAGAGCTGATAAGCTGTTACATCTTATTTTTATGATTAACTTTTAGAGTGTTTGGATAATGAACTTATTTCCTATTTTTACTCATTATAAAATCTTAAATAAAAAAGTGGGGTAGAGATAGTTATTTAAAAAGATCTTATTTGGTCTCCAACAGCTTATTTAAAAAAAAATTAAGATCTTTTTTTAAAATTTTACCAAACACTTTGGAAGAGCTTATAAGCTCTAAAACATCTTATAAGCTCCTTTTAACATCTTATAAGCTTAGCCAAACACCCTCTAAATATAGTTTGCTAAATATTTATTTAATTAAATAGCAAGTGATTTCACTAATAATACAAAAACAAATGGATCTACTCTCACATTTTTCAGAAACACTTTGACAGTTCCAATAAAAAAATTATTCCCCTAATATGCATATAAATATTACTCTCATTATCAAAATCTTCTTAACATTGTTTTCAAAATAAAATGAAAATATCCATAAAATTTAGGGTAAATTCCACTTTCCCCCTTGTACTTTGACCCGATATCACTTTACTCTATTTTACTCTCAATTGCATCGATTTACCCTTTGTACTTTTGGCTCGATATCACTTTACCCCCTTATACTCTCAACTGCATCGATTTTTCCCCTTTTACTTTGGCTCGATATCACTTTATACCCTTCTACTCTCAATTGCATCGATTTGCCCCCCTGTACTTGAAAAATTGTCTCAATGTGGCCATCACCGTTAGTTTTCAGACCTTTGACCTTAACACCGTTTGATCTAAGTTTGGAAATTATTAAAATGCCACCCCTCCCAGTTTAAAAAAAACAAAAAAAAAAAAAAAAAAACAAAAAAAGCAAAACAACGAGAAAACATAGTCCACGACGCCAGCCACAATTTTTTTTAATTTTTTTAATAATTATATATACTGGGAGGGGTTACTTTTTGTAATTTTCAAACTTAGATCAAACAATGTTAATGTCAAATGTGTGAAAACTAACAATGATGCCACATTGAGACAACTTTTCAAGTACAAGGGGAAAATCGATGCAATTGAGAGTAGAATGGGGTATAGTGATATCGAACTAAAGTACAAGGTTGCAAATCGATGCAATTGAAAGTAGAAGGGGGTAAAGTGATATTGAGCCAAAGTACAAGGGGGCAAATTGATGTTATTGGGAGTAGAATGGGATAAAGTGAGATCGAACCAAAGTACAAGGGAGGAAAGTAGAATTTACCCTAAAATTTAACCAAACATAGAGAGAGGGGATGACAACACAAAACTCCAAAATTCGGTGGAGGACGTGAAAGAAAGATAACATAAATTCGGTGGGTTAAATAACGAAAATCCAAAACATAATTGCTAAAAATAAATAAATCGCAAAATACTAAACCCTAGACGAAAAACAATATCCAACTCAGACAAAACTTGCGAAAAAAAAAATTTCTATTTAACCCCAAAAGTTTCTATATTATAAAATCACACCCAACAGACGACCAATATTTAGTTTCCATAATTCGCAAAAACACCCACAAAAACTTATCGCCGCAGCCCAAAAAGCCCCTCTAAAATAAGGGTTTCCTTCGCTCGTCATCTCCTACATAAGAGAGCAACACCCTCCCTTCCCACCTCCTCTCCTTCTCCCAGTAGAGAGAGGAAACCCAACTTTCTCTCTCTAAAAACCTATCGTTTTTTTTTCTCCTTTTATCTTTGTATCTTTATATATACGTATATATATACGAGAATAAAAGACAGCAAAAAATTCTATCAAATCTCTCTCTCTATATATATATTTTTCATATATATATAGATCATCTGTATCTGTTAAAAACTTTTCCGGTAGATTGGCGCAGCGTTTCCGATTTGCAAGTTATGCAGGCTGATCAGACGGTGTTGAGCTTGAGACCAGGTGGCGGCGGCACTCGCGGTGGAAGCAGAGTATCCGGCCCACGCTTCGATTCATTGACGGCGGCGAATTCCGATCTTACTCTGCTGCGTCCCCATGGCGGTGCCTCTGTATCTTCGCTCCCTTCCTTCAAGGTCTAATTTTTAACCGATTCTTTTTTCAGATCTATTGTTCTTTGATTTGTTGTGAATTGTTTGTGGCGGAATATTGATTTTTTTAGGGTTGTTCCGATTTAAATTAGTGTTATTCGTTCAGCCGCTTTTGATTGGATATATATGTTCTGTATATGCTAAGTTTGTATTAACCCTAATTTTTTCTCTGTTTGTTGAATTCTTGTATCTGCTTTTTAGAATTTCACTCTTGTGGTCCAATAATATTAGTTTGTTCACTTACCCAATTTTTGGAGATTGCTAAATCTTAGTCGAAATTTTCAATCATCTAAAAATTGTTATTTAGCGGATTATTCGATGTGTAAGTCGGATAAAACTCTGCCCTTGAGAATTGGAATGTGTTTCTTGTATAGAAAGTAGCACCTTTATTATATAAACTTTTAAAAAATTGAGCAAAGAAATTTCAATTTTTTTATTTTTTGACGCAAATAATCCTTTGCAGTTATGTGGTAGTACCCTCGTATATTCATGTCCTAATTCTTGGCACTGCACTTAAGTAGTGTAGTGCTGTAAATGTGGACGTAAAGCATTACATGGGCTTTAGGTGGGCATGCAAGGAGTATCTGGATGCCCATAAAGAAACCTCCGGATATAGGAACATTGGCTTTGGTATGCAATTATGATGTGCTCAATGAGTTTTGTGCTTGAGCTGTAATGTAAACATTTAAAGAGTTGCGCAAAGAGATTATAGAATCTTTTGTATAATAAGTTAATATCTGGATTTTACCCTTGTTTATGTGAATGTAAATCTGTTGATTATGACGTCCTAATTCTTGGCAGTGCATGTAAGGTGTGTACTTGCTGTAAATACGGACGTAAAAGTGTTACGTAGGCTTTAGGTGGGCATGCGAGGAGTATTTGGATGCCCATAAAGAAACCTGCGGATATGGGAACTTGGGATTTAGCATGAAACTGTGACGTGTTTGATTAATTTGTTCATAATATGAATGGAGATAATTTCCTTGATAAGCTACTTTTCTGTTTCCAGTTAATGAGGATAGCTTTCTGTGGTCATTTATTTTCAGTTTGTCGTGAAAACTACGCGTGTTCATTGGCTTTTGTATCCGACCACCCCTCCTAATCTCGCGCATATAGTATTCCTTGTACTGTATCTTATGTACCATGTGCATTTATATCGTTTGTATTATTACACAAATAGAATGGTTATCCATTTTTGTCATTTAGTTGGAGCCTCATTATATGATGGAATTGCATCTTTTTACACGACATTTGCAAATTATTATCGCTTGATTTCCGTTTAATCTCAAACTTTCTGATCTGTAATCCATTTCTAGCTCATAGTTGTCATTTAATACAATATTAATACTCGTATTTAATTTGTAACAGACTGGAGAATCTCGATTCGAAGGCCATGAGCGCGTCCGTTATACTAGGGACCAGCTGCTACAGCTAAGAGAGGTAAAGCCTGTTTATGTTGTACACATTTACTCCTGTAAAGCTGTTTTCATTTCTGATATTTATATGCGACTCGTATCTGGATGGGTTGTGTTTAGCATCAATTGTGGGCCGTGGCATCAAAAAGTTTGCTTGAAAAGTTAATATAGTTGAATCTTTAATATAATCGCTTTTGTTGTTGCTTTCCAGTCTCAGTGTAATTTCTATCTATTTGTACCTTTTTAGTGATTCTTAACCGTTAATTGGGCCATTTCCTATTTAGGATGGATGAACTGAAAATATGTATTGATTCCATCTGTTTTGTTTCCACTGAACTACCGATGTTTTTTGTTTTATCAGTTACATAAACTGTATGTTTCTATTCTTGCAAATGCTTTGATTGAAATATACTTCCGAAGAACACCGCTCCTAATATCTTTCATATTGTTTGATTATCTCTTGTAGGTGCTTAGCATCCCCGAAGATATTCTAAAAGCTGCACAAGAAGTTGAAGCTGAATTTTTCGGCACAGACCCTAGTTGGACCCATGGAGAAAACAATGTAAGTTTTAATTCAAGACTTAATTTCTGTCCTTATTCATCGAGTATATCGACGGCCTTTTTAGTGTTTTATTATTGATGCTTTGGCCTTTTTTTTTTGCTGGTTTGTTTCAATGATAATTTGGTACGATTGTTTTCTTTTGTAGCTCACAAATCAGGCTCCAGCTCGTTACGCCGAACCGGACAACCGTGACTGGCGTAACCGGTCTGCCCCCGTGGAGGAGAGGTCTTGGGAGGTGAGAGATCGAGAATCTGGTAGGCGTTTCGACTCCAAGCAACAAGATGTAAATCAATACAATAAGGTAGACCAGCTCACCTCGCAGTTTGCAAGATCTCAAATTTCGTCCAACCAAGGGGTAATCTACATCTTTTAAACTGTTCGGGTTTTCTATAATCATTGCTTCGTAAGGGTACTTACCATTCCTTATATTGCTTATGAAACAGGTTGCACCAGTTGCTCTAATCAAGGCAGATGTACCGTGGTCCGCTCGAAGAGCAAGTCTTTCTGACACCGACCGCGTCTTGAAAACAGTCAAGGGGTAATCCATATTCCACATGCTAAAATTAATGAACATAATCCAAATTTTTCCCCTTTTTCACTTCGCGGTTTATTGTCTGTTCACTATTGTGATTGGTTGTGTCAAGGAGGTTTTGGCCTTCTTGTTTATGATGATTGGCGCTGAACACTGTTATTTGATCTTTTGCAGCATACTGAATAAGCTGACTCCCGAAAAATTTGATCTTCTAAAGGATCAATTGATTAACTCTGGAATAACATCCGCTGATATTTTAAAGGTACTGTGCACATTGATAATGAATAGTTTTCTTTTTTTCGTTTCTTTTCTTATATATATATATTGTCTTTCCTCTTCCTGAAGCTAATGTTATCCCTTTTCTTCTCCATAGGAAGTGATCTCATTGATATTTGACAAGGCTGTATTGGAACCAACATTTTGCCCCATGTATGCGCAACTCTGTTCAGTCCTTGATGAGAAGCTTCCCCCATTCCCATCGGACGAACCTGGCGGAAAATTAATTACGTTTAAGCGCGTTCTCTTAAACAACTGCCAAGAGGCATTTGAAGGCGCTGGACAATTGAGGGAAGAAGTTAGGCAGATGACTGCTCCTGAGCAAGAACAGGAACGAAGAGACAAAGAGCGTTTAGTCAAACTCCGTACACTCGGAAACATCCGTCTTATCGGTGAGCTTTTGAAGCAGAAGATGGTTCCGGAAAGAATCGTTCATCACATTGTTCAGGTTCTCTCCTTTTTCATTATCCATCTATAGTTGATCTCTTTCATTATGGGCTATATAATTGACATGTCTTTTTTATTTACACGTACGAACAGGAACTATTAGGACAAGATACCAAGAGTTGTCCGGCAGAGGAGAATGTCGAGGCCATATGTCAGTTCTTCAACACCATTGGTAAACAGCTCGACCAGAACCTAAAAGCAAAGCGCATCAATGACGAGTACTTCAATCGCCTAAAGGAGCTGGCGGCACACCCTGAGCTGGCGGCACGCTTGCGGTTTATGATCCGTAATGTTATCGATACTCGTGCTAATGATTGGGTTCCGAGACGCGAAGAGGTGATTGATCTACTTCATTCTTGTTTTTTTTTTCCCCAAAAAAAGCACAAATATAGCCTTATAATTAGCCTAACAAGTAACAAATTCTGATTTTTCATCAGGTGAAAGCTAAAACCATCACCGAAATCCACTCGGAAGCTGAGAAGAATTTAGGGTTACGCCCCGGTGCCACCGCTAGCATTAGGAATAGTCGAAGCATTGCTTCTGGAGCACAAGCGGGTATTATTAGTCCTACTGGCTATCAGATTAATCGGCCTGGTACAGGTGGCATGATGCCTGGTATGCCAGGAGCAAGGAAGATGGCTGGCACGCCTGTAATAACAGCAGATGACGACAATTGGGAAGTTGTTCTCAGGTCTCGATCTATGCCAAGAGGCGTCGTCCAGTCTCCAGCGATTGGGAAATCTCCCTCCCTTAACCAGAGGCTTCTACCTCAAGGCAGCGGTGGTGTAATCGCCGGAAAAACCAGTGCCTTCTTGCCTGGTAGTGGTGGTCTACTCAGACAGGCTTCGACGCCTCCTATTTCCCCAGCTGTCGAGAAGCCATTGGCTCCGATTTTGCCAGCTGTCGAAAAGCCATTGGCTGCGGTCCCTCCAGCTACTCAAAAACCGGTTCTTGATGAGCTCAAAAGAAAGACAATCTCACTTCTCGAAGAGTACTTCAGTGTTAGAATCCTGGACGAAGCTTTGCAGTGTGTTGAAGAATTGAAGTCGCCGGATTACCACCCTGAAGTGGTTAAGGAAGCCATTTCACTTGCTTTGGAGAAAGGCCCGTCTTTCGTTGAGCCCGTTTCGAAGCTCGTTCTGCACTTGTTTGCCAAGAATGTTCTCACTGCAAAGGATATCGTTAGTGGATGCCTTGCTTACGCATCGTTAATGGATGACCTGGCAATCGACCTGCCGAAAGCACCTTCTGGTTTCGGCGAGATTGTCGGGAAGCTGGTGTTGGCCGGAGCTTTGGACTTCAAGGCGACGAAGGAGATCCTGGCGGCAGTGGAGGACGGTTATTACAAGAAAGCCATATTTAGCGGTGCTGTCAAGATCATTGGCTCCGATCCTGCTGGGAAGGAGCTGCTCGATTCTCAGGCGTCGGAAGTTGCTGCGTGCGAGAGTCTGTTTTAGAGAGTCTTCCTTCTTCGCCTTGAGCTACACACACAGTGGGCTGTATAATTTTTTCCTTGAGGTAATGTTATTATAGATTTGTTTATTAGAGAGAAGGGAGAGAGAGAAAAATGGAAGATAAAAGATTTTGATTCTTGGGTGACTGTAGACAATTTCCATGGTTGCTCGAGGATGACTTAAGTTTGACTTCTGTATTTGATTGATTAGTTATTTTTTTTTTTCAATTTTGTTGACCTATTGAATTTTGTCAAATTTGTGAGTCATAATGCGACTATGCGGGATTCTTAAAGAGAATGTGACGGTATATTTTATTTTATTTTATTACTTATTTTAGAAAGTCTTTTTGATCTTGTATTGTTTTTTTGGTGTAATTTTTTGTGTTTTTCCTCACACCTCCCCCACTCTTTTTATATCATCATATTTAGCATATATTGTCTTTTCTACCCTAATTTAATTTTTCAAAACAATATGTGAAAAGAAAAATATCTTCTCCACACTCCCACCTCCCGAGACACTGTTCCTTCCACATTCGTTTTTCTCGAAAGAGAGAGAAAATAATAGCAAAATATCGGTACAAAAATTTTGCTAATTTTACCAAAAATATTCACAATTTTCGGTTTGTAACTGCAGAAAATCACACTGCGTCAAAACAAGTGCTTTTTCGAAACCTGAAATTCAAACTCATAAACAAGAACAAAATTGGACATTAACTCCTAACATACTCGGCTCTCTTGCATTATCTTGTGAAGAATCCTCAAAAATTTTGTCTCTAGATTCCATATTGCATTATTTGGTATTTTTTATTTTTTTTTACATTTGTAGGGTTTGTAGATGAAGAAAAAGGTTTAAGGAAAGAAAATATTTATCTCACAAACTCAAACATCGGTTTGTAATCTTTGTTGTGATGTTGGTGAAGTGGGTTTAGGAGTATGTGATGTAGCTTATTCCTTAATTAAAATAAAAGGAATTTATCCCATCCCACATTGATTTAACAGTAAAAAGCTCTTTGAGCTTTCATCTATTCAATCTTCAGCATAATTACATTTGAAGCACGGTTTTCGAATTGGAAAATATGGGCGCATTATTTTTCTCCGCATATTGTATTGTAAGATATTTAATCAGCTATTATGAATAATAAAATGTATATATCTACATAATAAAAATACTATGAACCTGTATTTTAATGTCAAACAACGCATTCCCAAATACTAGCACAAAAGAAAATAACTAAAGTAGGAAAGTTATTAGCAAGTTATAGAAATCATTAGGAACTCTTTTGAAACCTCTTTATTGCAGTTAACTGTTAGGATGTATATAGAACTTTCATGGTGTGATCTAGAGAGCTGTTGACAACCGTATGATTAAATCGATCACTACCGTCCCCTAAATTTGAAAGTTGTATAAATAATAGTATGGTTCCATTAATAATTTATAAACCAATCAAACAAGTGTTGATTGATTTCGAGAAAATTATTTAGTTGGGATTTATTGGATATGGAAACGGCTAACAATGTTGTTTTTTTTTTGAAATTCAGATTGTATCAATGGGTTTAAGTTTGAACAAACGAATTTCGTTCAATACCTTCATCATAATATTGTATACAATTGTGGGTACAAATTGTTCGTCTTGAACTACTAGCAAAGTGGATGTGCGTTCGTCTCTGTATGTGTTAGTTATTTTAACATATTTTAGGTTTTCCATGTGTTCATTATATAATTTTTAAAATATATTATAAATTTTGATGTGTTTTTAAATTATTTGATAGCAATAGAATTTAAATTTCAAATTAGTTAAAAATGAAATATAAAAGTAGTTATGTAATTTTGGTCCATCAATTCATTTATTCAATTTTTATTTTTTTTATGGTTTTCTAGAGAGAAAATAGTTTAGATGATCATAATATTACTACACAAAATACACTTTGTTAAGAGGATCATAAAAGTACCCATTATAGATCAACAGCCGTTGCATATTCATAGAAAGCTTTTTTTGTAAAAAAAATAGAAAATAACATATCTAACACTATACAATGTGCACGCCAAAATATTCTACCTTAGTCATGTAAAAACACTGATTCTATATGCCAAAAAGCTTAAAATGATTTTGGCCTCTAACATCTTGGACATCTACTCATTAATGTATTCGCCATTGATATTCTATATCTTCCGAATAATACCTAAACCTCCTATTAGATTGGTGTCCTATATTTGATTCCATAAGCAAATTGTCGGTAGAAATTCAGGATTGATCATTTATCATAACCTTAATTATTAATTTATTACTCCAAAAGGTTGGAAGAAGAATCTTTTACGTCCTCACTAAAAAACCATTTGCTGTGTTTTTCTTTTCTACTTTTCCTCATTAATTTCCTTTTCCTTCTCATCATTCTGCATATATACAACATATAATCTAACACGGAGGTGCCGTTGAACGGCGGTGGAGGTGTAGGGTTTTAAGTTTCTTACGCCCGTTAAATTCATGGACCAAAATCCCACAATTTGTTTTTGTTTGATGTTGATAAGTTCAGCTATATTCTTTTATCTGAATTTTTCAAGTCTTCAAAGTATTTTGAGCTGGTAAAAAAAAGAATGATTATTGCAGCTACACATATAAGATAATTAATTATACTTCCTAACTATAACTTCTATGTTAATTATATGAGAGCCATACAACAACATATAACATCATCATCATCATAACGTTAAACATATAACAAACTTGAGTGCCATTTTAGAGGAAACTGTTCGAAGAAGACAAATTTCACAGACAAGAGAAAATTCCAATAAATTGTGATATTCTCAAAATCCTGTTACACAATTATAATTTGTGTATTGAATATTTACATTAAACTCTCAATTTTAACGCATTTGATATATAAAAGTTAAATAGAAATTTCCATTCACATATATTTATTGGTATATATATTTATGGATTTAGAGCCTTCCTGCATTAATGAATTGTGGAAAGGGGGTTGAGAATAACGAATGTTCTGCATTCGTTCGAGTAAGCTGCAAAAAGTACCCCTGTGTAATTTCTAAATAGCGAAAACCCTCCTATGATAAATAAACTAGCAAAAGCCCCATGTGAAATTATTTAAAGGGCAAAGTACAGTTTGCACCCCTGAACTATGGGGCTTGTCACAAACACCTCCCTAAACTACAAAATGTACCAAAATGACCCCTCCGTTTTCAATCTGTTAGTGTGTGATGATGTGGCATGTTGACTTATGGTTTGCAGCAGTTTTATGACCGTTGGAAATTGTTTGGACGCTTTAGCCCCTCAGATTGGTATACATATAGTTGTGTGGGCTGAAATGCACTTGTAGAAAACATGGGTACCTAAATAAAAAAATTTAATTCTTCAAAGTGACCTTAAATAAGGGATGATCGAAACATAGGGGATCAAATTGCACTTTTACAAAATATATTATGGCAGCCCTAATTCTCCTTTCTTCACCAATACCACCGTCACCACCGCTCCTCTTTAACTGTCGGTCCCGCAACCACTCCACATCCAAGACCTCATGCCACCGTAGGCGGTTTTCGGATCCCCGCACAACCCCTTGTGCGAATTCTGCCACCCAATCTTTCACCGCCAATCGCGCAACGATCCCACTACCCAAACAGCACTGCTCAAAATACACTATCACACAACTCACAACCCGTAGTCCGCCGCCAAATCCCTGCACAAATCTGCTGATTTCACTTCCGAAAATAGAGATTTTATGGGTTTCTCGATTTTTTTGTTAATTTACCAAAAATCAAAGTAAATTTATAAACTAGGTTATTGAAGTTTGTTGGTTTTCTTAAATTTGTGTTAATTTACCTTATGGCAGAGAATTTGGAAAAGCTTAGTTGGTACTTGGTATTGCCATGTTTTCATCGCTCACAATGAAGAAGAAAGGAAGAAGATAGACTTTTTAAAATAAAATAAAAAAAGCCAGGAGAGAGGTGGTGATTGGTGTTAGTTTTCTTAAGGGTAAATAAGTAAATGCACAAGAAAACCGACGGTGTTAGTTTGTCTGCCGTTGACCATAAATGGTAGGGGTCATATTGGTACGTTTAGTAGTTTAAGGGGGTGTTTGAGACAAGGCCCATAGTTCAAGGGTGCAAACTGTACTTTCCCCTTATTTAAATAGCACACTTGACCCATTTATCATTTGAGTGTTGACTTCATATAAAAAGACACAAATACCCCCGGGATTTTGCAATTAATAAATTCTTATGTTTTTTAAATATTTTAAATATTTTATTTTTGTTATATCTTAATTATAAAGGTACAATGGGATCTTTAATTTATTTTTGTTTTTATTATCACATAGTTTTTTTATATATTTTAAATTATCGCTACATCAAAAGAAAATTTAAATTCCGTTATTATATATTTAAAAAAATCTATAGTTAATTTGATTAACAAATTTTTAATAATTTTTAAATTTAATTATTTCCTATTTTTTTAACAATATTTTAATTTCTAAACAATCAAATTAAAAGGGAAATATATATACATATAATATATATACATATAAATACATTTTTAGGA